AGCCAGCTGATCGTGAGAAAACCGCATTCTCGATAGGATCAGGGCTTTGGCAGTTCACAGTTATGCCCTTTGGTTTATGTAATGCTCCGGCCACATTTGAAAGAATAATGAAGGCAGTTTTAAGAGGTCTAACATGGAAAACATGCCTGGTTTATTTGGATGATGTAATTGTAGTTGGAAGATCCTTCGATGAACATGCCAATAATCTGACAGAAGTCTTTCAATGATTGCGGGCAGCGAATTTGAAGTTGAGTCCGAAGAAATGTCACTTGTTTCGACGAGAAGTGAAGTACTTGGGACATATTGTAGCAAGTAATGGTGTAACAGCTGATCCTGAAAAACTTGCAGCAATTAAGGATTGGCCAGTACCAAGAGATAAACACGAAATTAGAAGTTTTCTTGGCCTATGTACATATTACCGACGTTTTGTCAAAGGATTTGCCAACATCTCCAAGCCATTAACAAAGTTGACAGAAGAAGGCAAAGAATAAACATGGAGCGAAGAATGTCAAAGAGCTTTCGAACACTTACAAATGGCTCTGATCAGCGCACCAATTTTAAGCTACCCTAGACAGGCAGGAAAATTTGTGTTGGATACCGATGCAAGCAACAGTGCAATAGGAGCTGTCCTCTCCCAAATCCAAGATGGGCAGGAGAAAGTCATCGCTTACTTTAGCAAAGTCTTGTCGAAATCAGAGAGAAACTATTGCGTTACCAGGAGAGAATTGCTAGGCGTAGTAAAGTCTTGCGAGCATTTCCATAAATATTTATACGGCAGAAAGTTTCTTCTTCGCACGGATCACGCTGCTCTAAAATGGCTCCTACAATTCCGTAATCCAGAGGGCCAGATGGCAAGATGGTTAGAACGATTACAAGAATATGATTACGAGATCGAACACAGGGCTGGAAGAGTTCATTTAAATGCTGATGCGCTTTCGAGAAGGCCGTGCAGTGAACATTGTAATCACTGTCTTAAATTAGAAGAAAGACTTTGTCCCGTGAGACGAACCACCGTCATTAATGATCAATGGCAGCCTCAACAGCTACAATACGCTCAAGCAGATGTTCCATGTATAAAAAGAGTATTGGATTGGATGCGTCGAAGTGAAAGGCCCTCTTGGCAAGACATTAGTGCATGTAGTCCTGAAGTCAAGTGTTACTGGAGCCAATGGAATTGCTTAGTGTTAAAAGATTATCTTCTTTATAGAACCTTTGAGAACGATGATGGTACAGAATCTAAGCTTCAATTGATTGTACCTAAAATTAAAGTGACAGAAGTATTGCGTCAGTTACATGACGGTGCATCAGGTGGACACTTTGGTATTACGAAGACTCTGCAAAAGGTTCGAGAACGGTTCTATTGGGTGAACTGTAAAGATGATGTAAGAAGATGGTGCCGGAAATGTGAACTTTGTGCAACCAGTAATGGTCCAGTTGGTAAAAAGAGAGCACCCATGAAACAGTACAATGTTGCTAGTCCTATGGAAAGAGTAGCAATCGACATTGCAGGTCCACTTCCAGAGACAAATGATGGAAATAAATATATCCTGGTAGCCATGGATTATTTTACGAAATGGACTGAGGCCTATGCGCTACCAAATCAAGCAGCTGCTACCGTTGCAGAGCTACTTGTTAAAGAATTCTTTAGCCGATTTGGTGTTCCCTTGGAGATCCACTCCGACCAAGGGCGAAACTTCGAATCAACCCTTTTCCAAAACGTTTGTAAATTGATTGGTGTCAATAAGACCAGAACGACACCCCTGCATCCTCAATCAGATGGAATGGTCGAGAGAATGAACCGAACGATGGGTAAACACCTGTCCAAAGTTGTATCAGAACATTAAAGAGATTGGGACCAGCACATTCATTTATTCCGAATGGCCTACCGCTCGGCCGTGAATGAAACTACCGGCCAGACTCCAACCTGCCTGATGTTAGGTCGTGAAGTTCGTTTGCCCTGCGACCTAGAGTTTGGCTCCAGACCTTCCGAGGAACATGTTGCAAGCGAAGATTATGTCGACCGCCTGAAGTTAAGAATGAACAACATTCATGAACTTGCCCGACAACACATACAGTTAGCCAGTGACAGAATGAAAGATCAATATGATTCTCGATGCAAAAATGAAAGCTATAAAGTAGGTGATCTTGTTTGGCTTTATAATCCACAACGTCGTCGTGGCTTGTCTCCTAAACTGCAAAGACAATGGGAGGGTCCGTATGAAATTAAAAAGAGAATAAATGACGTAATATACCGAATTAAGAAGTTGCCGAAAGGTAAACCAAAAGTAGTTCACATAAATCGTCTTGCACCTTATGCTGGCTCAAATGAAACCGAAGAAGTCCGAACCCTTCAACATGAGATCAAAGATGATCGGCGACCAAGCTTTAATAAATTTATGTCAAATTACGCAGAGAGAAAGAGTGCTAGATTCGGCGTGACGACAGAAGTACAGCAGGATCTTTTTAGTATTCCGCATAACGTCTCTCTAGCCCACTGTGTTGCCCAAGATCTTGAGATGACTAAAGGAATCTCATCCGTATTTTATAAGAAATTTGGTCGCTTGGACGAGTTAAAAAACCAGCAGCCTAAAGTTGGAAGAGTGCTGAGATTAGAAGATGGTTCTCGATCTGTGCTGTATATGGTGACCAGGAAGTCGTATACAGACAGGGCAACCTACGAGGATATATGGTGTGCTCTAACTAATTTGAAGAAAATCGTCTGCAATTACGACATTAAGAACTTGGCTTTACCCAAGATGGACCATGCACTAGATAATCTGGATTGGAAGATTGTCAGAAGCATGCTTGAAGTGATCTTCCGAGAAACCGGTGTAAGAATTACTGTGTGTTGCATTAATCCGAAGAGATCGTGTCCTTCAAAGACAGTAGAGACAGTAGACTGTTATTTCTTTCTGAGGGGTTCATGCAGAGCTGGAGAGTTCTGTAGATTCCGCCATCCTGGGCCTATATATAGAGTTGCTGATCGGGACGCTCAGATCTAAGAGGGGAGCAGTGTTACGAACGTGCATTCAACGAGGCACATATAACGGTTGCATCTCGAAACAGCACCTCATCCTTCCATGCGGCGGCATCTCGAAAGCGACTCGATATTTCGAGAAAGATCAGTCATGTACGCCTAAAGGTGGGAACTTTCTAGAAAATAGTAACTTTGGTATATATATATATATATATATATATATATATATATATATATATATATATATATATATGTAACGATCTTAGGAATAAGTTTAGTTGATAAGAGATTACCGAACTGTAAAGTTATAAATAAATATATTTATATAAATTCGAACCGCTCGTTTTATTTAAAAACGCTACAATATATTTATTATAATTAATTGTGTGGAATGGTAATGCATTAGAACACACAAACTAACCCATATATCTTGGAGTAACTCTGGACCGGTCCCTCACCTACAGACAACATTGCACAAAAACAAGAGGGAAAGTAACAACTAGTTACAGCATACTTAGAAAGCTAACGGGAAGTAAATGGGGCGCACGTCCTGGCGTTTTAAGAACAACGGCACAGGCACTGTGTTTCTTAACTGCTGAATATGCGTGCCCCGTTTGAAGCAGATCTGCCCACACCAAACAAGTTGATACTGCAACAAATGAGATATGCAGGATAGTAACGGGGTGTATGAAACCAACGCCACTTTCAAATCTAAATAGAGCAGCGGGTTTTGCAGAACCTTCAACACGCAGAGACGCTGCAGAATATATAGAGAAAATTAAACAGATCTCGGATGATCGGTATGCCCTATACAAAGCTCGAACACTACGAAAGCGACTAAATCTAGAAAAAGCTTCCTTGGAACAGTGCAGGATGAACCGCCTGAGTATTTTCCACTTCCCCAGGTTCAATGGACCGGCCAGACCCTAGACTTTAAAACGTGGAAAACCTTGAATAGGATAAGAACCGGGATTGCTACAGTAAAATCAAACATGGCAAAGTGGGGAAAAATAGACCAAGATGATGTGAACTGTGACTGTGGAGAAACACAGAATATGGAACATCTTCTTACATGCAGAAACTGTCCTCATCGATGTACCCTTGAAGATTTGTGGCTCGCCAACAAAGATGGAACCGACGTAGCCCGATACTGGGCCAAAATTTTATGAATGACATGTCCGGACACGATAAAGTAAGTACTGAAATTAAATTAAAAAAGAACATGAAAAAAGTGGAAAAATAATAAAAAATTTCCAAATTTAAATTTATTTCAAAAACAAAATACGATCTGGAACAAGAGTACCTACTGGAAATGTTTAATTTTTTTGAGCTCTTCGATTGTGTAGTACCTTCAATTTTAATTTTTTTCAACAATACTCGAGTATTCCGATTTAATACACTCAGCCTTATAAAATTTTCCAAGAAATTAATATCGGATGGAGTTTCAACAGGCGAAATGAAAATCCTAATATTAAACAGCATTGTAACCAGGTACAATATCTGACTGTTATGCAAATTAGTAATTAGAAAGTCAGTATGGGCAAAACCAGCTTATTCAAATTATAGGTACCTATCTATAGTCTTTTATTGAACTATTTTAATTTATTACCCTTATATACGTAAAGATTTTGAAGAAATTAATATCAGGTTCAGTTTTCAATGAAACAAAAATCTTTAAGAGAATTGTGACTCTGTAAAATACCTGCCTAATATGCTAATTAGTAAAAAGAAAGTCAAATCGGCGGTTTTTTTGTCACAATCAGCACACGCGTTATTTGTGTTTTTTCTAATTTTATCGATAGAACATATTCTACATCGTTTCCTGTCACGTACTGGTTATATTTCTATATTCTTAATAGTCTGACATTCCATCCTCTCTTGGTTGTATGTTCAGTCAAAGAATTGGCAAATTTATAAGATCTTTTTGTGTGCGTTGAATTGTTGTATTTATTGTTGTAAGAAAAGTTGTATTTATTGATTTGCGTTTATGTGTATATATGGGTATTTGTATGTATGTGAGTATATGATCGGCGTATGTATTGTCTTATGTAAACAATCACTAAAGTTAAGCAAGTATCTAAAATTTTCAGATGAAGAATGTGAAGAAATCCGCCAACAACAACAAAAACATATGAATTCTGGTAGTAGTACAGAAATGGTATACACAAAAACTTCAGCTGTTGCTTGTTTTAATGAAGCAATACCTGTTATGCAGTATATATGCAGTAAACTTGAGGAAACAAAAGTGTGAGTGAATTTTTAATTTATATAATTTTAATCCTATTTACGTTCAAATTCTTTTCAGGTTAACTAAATCTACGGATATAAAAATTTTTTTATTGGAATGTTTGTTAACATTTGTTAGCACTTTACCTAATACGGTACATTCCAACATTCACTTTACAACATTTTTATGGCAACGATTCTGCCCATCATTAATAGCAATCCTTGGCATCCCTGGAGATTCTATGGTCCATTCTTTAACTACAAATCAGGCTAAAATTATATACAGGTAAGAAAAATCATTTAAAACTGATTAATATAATTTGTACCTATTTATATTTTTTATAAATAAAAATATAATCACATGTTCACACCTACACTCAGAATTTGATTATTATTCAGATTTAAGCCACACGGCTCTCACTCTCTCTAAGTGTAAAATTTTATCATCCCAGATACCTACAGTATCAAAAGAAATGATCTCTCCTGGGGCTCTTTCCGTCTTATTAAGTCCTAGGTTGATTGGTACACCGGAGTATTTTCCAAAAATTTTCTTACGCATCGTGATGTGAAGAATAATACCGATTTCTGCATGATCTAATAGAGATTGTTGGGGAGGATATATTTCTTATCAAACTTTCCACATTTTAGAGAGGCGTAGTTAAACACCTAATTGCTTCAAAATATTTATTAAGGACTACTGAAGCAATAAAACACTTAAGACGTATTTTTCCTTCGATTTATTTATAGTAAACCTAACGACTGATTCTACATTGATAATTATCGCAATTGGGATAATATCAAAAGAAGTTATACAAATATCATTAGCTTTACAGTGCTAGGAGGCAGTAAAAAAATAGAGTATTGAGAGAAACAAAACTGGTAACGGTTTAACCCAAAACACCGTGTTTACAAGCGCATCTTTCGCTTACGCATTACACACTTTTAGAGATCGACAACATACCCCAGTCCATTTTTATTTGCTGAAAGGTAAATTCGCACTGTCCTAAGTTATATAACGCGGAGTAGAGAGAGATTATGAAGGACTGGATCGCAAACACATTAACATGAGAGCTGACGATATGAGCGCACAAGATAAAATAACTATATTACGATTACAATATTACAAATAGGTTGTTTTTAAAACATACTGCGCCCCCCCCCCCATGAGCACTAGCAACATTATAAAAAGCATTAAAAAAGAGAACATAGAAATCAATATGAATAATAGTAAACAAATTCATATAAAACCATATGAGTAAAAATACTAAAACTAATAACATTAACATAATCTTTCACTACGAATAGGCACAATTTTGTTATTGTGCGTTTAAAAATCCCATCCTAAGTTTTAACCGATGCAATTCTCACTCGGCTATCTTTTCCTTAAAGACTTCCATAACTCGTGCCAATAGCCAGTAGAGCGGAGGGAGATTATCTTCTGTAACTAGCACAAGGTCATTAGGTTGAAAATTTTCTTTTCATTTTTCCCAAAAAAGTTGCTGAAGCTTAAAGAGATTTTTACCAGATGTTATTTTCCGGGATAGATGTATACTCCTGGTCGGGGAACGAGGTAAGAGACCTTCCAATTAAGAAGTGACCATGAGCAAGATATGTGAAATTGGAGGGATCATTAGAGAGGGCACAAGTGGGCTGAGAATTAAGTACGGCTTCAGTTTGGGTCAGCATGGTACTGAATTCCTCGAATGTAATTTTGAGATTGCCTAATAATCTATAGATATGATGTTTAGCGCTCTTTATAGCGTTCTTCCAAAGTTCGCCATGATGAGAAGATCGAGGTGGTATTGTTTTCCACCGAATTTGAGAGGAGGCTAAAAATTCCTGAATGGAGAAGTTAGGTTTAATTTAATTTTTCAAAAAATTATAGAGTTTGAATAGCTGATCTTTAGCCCCAAAGAAAGTTGGTCTAGTTATCAGAGAATATAGTCTGTTGGAGAGCTCTTCACTGATAAAGCGCTTGAGAGTAAGAAGAAACGCTTCTGTTGAAAGACCACTAACTCATATAAATCAACTTTGATGGTACACAAGGTAAATATCGAACACAGTAGTTAATCAAATCTTGCCCAAGTACTTTCGATCACAAGATCATCCTCAGGGGCATTTCGTCAGTTGTGGCCTATCCAGCAGTAATAGAATGTTATAAATGTAAATTGGGACATAACAAATACACTAAACAAAGAAAAATAAACACTTTAAAATTTAAGAAATGGAGAAGCTACAATTTATATAGAAGCCGGAGACAGAATTGATTCTTTCTGTCTTTTTACATTGAAAATTGACATCTGTTACTTGACTTTCTTCTTCTTTGCTCTATACCTATAATAATATACTACAATACCTTCGCACTATAAGTTTAAATGCACAGGTGGTTTTACATTTCTTTTTGATCTACTTGGAACTGCTGTCACACTTTATTTGGTCTCTGGTTTCCCATTAACCTCACTAAATACTGATTCACTTGCTACTTTATTACCAGACTCTTCAAAATTTATTACTTCAATATCACTTTGTTTTACCACTTCCCCTTCTCTTATAGCTGAGAGGGTACAACACTGGTACTAATTGTATTATCATGATTAGTTATATCAGTTACAATGGTTTCATTAAGACTATATCGTAGTTAGATTCAAAACCTTTATCTCGAAAAATCTGGTATAAATGTCTTTCCCAAATTAAATCCTCCTGTGTTAACTTACACAAATATATCCTGTCACTTAAAAGTTCATCTATCATTGCTTTTGCCCAAGTTTTACGATTAGGATAACGATAATCCCTACAACGGACTTTATCCCCCACTTGAAAAGTTCCAATTCGTCTATTACAATTTAATTTATTATCAATTAATTTAGAACTCTGAGTCTCGTTACATGTCCATAACAAATCTAATCGGGTTTTAACTTTATGTTTAAATACAAGACTGGAGGGTGATACACCTGTAGTACAGTATACTGAACTTCTATAATGGAACAATAACTTACTGATTATATTTTATAAAGAATTATTACAGTAGTAATCACCCTTCAATGCTTTTAAGGCAGAATTTTTAAATCTTTTAACAAAATTCTCTGCTTACTCATTTGTTGCTGGATCATATTGTGGTGATGTAGAGTGTTTTAATACCATTATTATGTAAAAACTGTGAAAATTCATCTGATGAAAATTGGAGGCCATTATCTGTAACTAAGTGTTGTTTTCCAATAAACCTTAATCTTTTAATATTTTCAAACAATACGGAAATTCTTCATTGCATTTACAAACATGTTAAAATATGTAAATACAAGTTGTAAATGGTATATAGGCATAATCTGTTAATATGGTTTGAAAAAAAAAAACAAAAAAAGTATACGACAAACTAATAAAAAAAAGGGGAAAACAAAAAACAAAAAAACGCAAAAAACAAAAAACAAATAAAAAAAACAACAAACAAAAAAAGAAGAGAATAAAAGAATAAAAAATCAAAATAAAAATATATCAAAACAAATTTTATGTTTGTTTACCATAAAAATATTAGGTGTATCTAGTACTACCATTGATAACTGATGACAAGAAAATTTTGACTATGAGTCTGCAATCTATAATAATTAAAATTCAGTCGATATTAACAATAAACACAAACAAGTCTGGCTAATTGGCTCTGCCAAAGCCATTTTTTCAGAAAAAAAAACTAGTTTAGGTAAACCATACTGAGCAAAACAATCTCTAAATTTTTCAATAGTCTCCCCAGTGGTCAAATTACTCATAATACATGCTTCTAGCCATTTTGTAAAAGTATCAATGATTAACAAAATCATTTCGTAGCCATTTTGTAAAAGTATCAATGATTAACAAAATCAGAAAATCAGCATGCACCCTCTCAACATACATCTTTGAGAGGGTGCATGCTCTAAACCTGCTCTAAGCCCTAAACAAATTTTACAATTATTTACATAAGATCCAATATCTGTATCTAAACTTGGCCACCAAAAATAAGCTCTTGTATTTGCCTTCATCTTGGAAATTCTTTCATGTGTATTGTGCAACTCTAACAGCAATTGTTTTTGTAACTTTTTTGGCACTACTATTCGAAATCCCCACATAATCAACTCCTTTTTCACAGATAGTTCTTTTCTATTTAAAAAAACGGTTTCATTATTCCATCTACTGTCTCCGGAAATCCATACCTAATATGGTTAAACAAACGAATTAACACCGGACATGTTTTGGTTTCTACCCTAATCTTGAGGGTATTGATTGGAGCCAACCCTTCTATAAAAAATAGATATTCAACGTCTTCCTCTTTTTCGCTTACTGTTTTCTCTAGAGGAAGTCGACTGAGTCGGACTGAGGCTATTTTGGGAAGACTTTTAAACTCACCAAAAAATTCCTGCAGGTGTTTATAATCACACTAATAAAGATTTTAAACTTTCTACCTGCTAAGTAATTATAAAGCTTGTGTACTGCCCAAACAATTGCTAAGTCTTCTTTATGAACCATTGCATAATTTCTCTCTGCCTTAGTCTAATAGGTTTATTTAAATCAAAATGCATTAGCACGTAAAGTTATCTCCTTCTTAATAGCATCAACTGAATTTTGATAATTATCTGTCCATAAATATTACCTATTTTTTTTTATAGAAGTTTATATAATGGATTCACCCTATCTGCCAAATTTGGAATAAATTTAGAATAATAATTTATTATACCAAGAAATGATCTTAAATGTGTTAAATTCTTTGGTTTTGGCAGTTTCACAATTACTTAAATTTAATCTAAATCCTGCATTTAAAAGTCTCTCAAGAATTTCGGCTAAGTTCTCTAAATGTTCTTTGTTATATTTTCCTGTAACTACATTATCTAAATAATTGACTGTGCCCCTACATCCCTGCAAAACTTTCTCCACTATACACTGAAAAATAGAACAAGTTGGTTTTGTTTCATATGGGAGTCTTTTAACTCCGTTAACTACGTCTCTTTAAATTCCGTATAGTGTACTCCAAGACAGTAAATGTGATGTTTCAGGATCTAATTGTTATATGGGTTTTTGAAATCTAGTTTAGTGAAATCTTTGAAATCTTTTCCCCACCTTTGAAAGCAAAAAAAATATCTTCTATTAAAGATGTGGATAATTAGAATCTTTTAAATATTTGTTGTTACTTTATAATTAGCACATACCCTTTTTTCCTTACCATTACATTTGATCACAGGTACCAATGCAACTCTGCCTTTACTTTCTCTTTAAATGCAAAAGGGATTTGATGTGGTTTTTGAAAATTTTTCTCATATTTTCTTAATTA